TTTTTGGTTCTACTACACCAATGGTCAAGAGATGGCGCTGTAGTCTCCTGAATCGCGCTTTGGTTCCGTTGTCCCAGATTAATAAATACTTTTGATAGGCCTTCACAATGCAGTCGTTAGCACCCACTAAATAGAGATTCTATTTTGTTGGTAGATTTTCTTAATGTGCGGTAAACACAAAAATAACGCATGAAGTTGGTCGCTAAAGCCAAGACCAACTTCATGCTGTTAAAATTTTGTGTTACAGTGATGCGCGCGCATCTTAAAATTTCACTCTCATCATTTTTTCATAACGCGCCTAAAGAAGTATAACTTCAAAAAAAAGTCAAGAGAGTTAGACTACCTTTTGGTGGTATTGCGTTTCTGTCGTTGAGTAAAGTTCATGGGCTCCCTGTGTTAGGGGATTGGGTCGATAGGGTTGGTAGGGTAGACAACGGTTCGAGTGGTATTTTTGTTTATTGCAAGCGTCTATATAGACCAGGGTCGATAATTTTAAAAATGGTAAAAAGTGAAAAAAAAATACAGTAGGATGAAAGCCATTGGAAAAGGTAGAGAATATAACAAAAATGTAAGGAAAAATAAATTATGGGCGATCTGAGGTCGGGAAGGGGGAGGGAGTGAGTTTTTAAGGGTAAAAAACGGTTAATCTCGATTTCCGGTAAAACTGCCAGTCCTATGAAAAAATCTTTCCGACCTCAGATCGCCCGTAATTTATTTTTCCTTTCACTTTTGTTGTATTCTCTACCTTTTCCAATGGGTTTTATCCTACTATAATTTTTTTTTGGTCTCAAACATTATCGACCCTAGTCTAATAGGCTACGGTGGCCTTATAACATAAAATAGTATTAAATGAAGACAACAGGACCAGTTCATGGATTGGTTTAAATTTACTTATACATATTAAAGTCACGAGGAATTGCAGACGTATATAGTTTACTAGCGGCCCGCCCTCGCTTCGCTTCGGTGTGGAGCTGAAGTGTAGACTACAGTTTTTGTTCTCAGGCTTGTATTATACACATTGACATGCATCTATGATTCTTCTTATACCTGCATGCAAAGCCTCAGCCCGATCGGTTTAAAATTGACAAAGTTTCATACAATCTTTCATTCCCTATTTTATCCCCTCGGGGGTAGCATTGATCAAAATCCTTTCTAAGCGGATGCCTACGTCATAACATCTACCTGTATGCCAAATTTCAGCCCGATCCGTCCAGTGGTTTGGGCTGTGCGTTGATAGATCACTATAAGATAAGATAAGATAAAAACTCTTTATTGCACAACACAGTAACAAAACAAGCAGATACAAAACAAGTAGAAAAATACAACATTGCACAAAGGGCGGTCTTATCGCTAATGAGCGATTTCTTCCAGACAACCCAATGAGCTGGAAATAAAATAAGGTAAGCGAGTAAGGGAGGTTGTGCGGAGCACAAGGCAAAAGTTTTCCTGATAATTAGATTGGACGAAGACGAAAAGGGGGAAAAAAATTAAAAAGGAAAATATAATACAATAAGATAAATTTAAATATATAGGTAAACATAAAATACTCAGATACTTCACAATGCTACCGAAACCGGTAAGTTCTAATGCAAGATTTATGAAAAATTAAGTTCCTCCGACAAAAAGTGTTCCCTAACTAGAGACTTAAAACAGTCTAAAGTTTGGGCACGCCTTATCTTTTCGGGCAGGGAATTCCAGAGTTGGATAGCATGTACTGTAAAAGAATGGCTATACGCCCTGGAAAAGTTAGGAGGAGTGAAAAGAAGAAGATTGTTAGATGAACGAAGTGGAAGATTATGGGAAGAAGAAAGAAACTGAAAACGTTCTTTGAGGTAAACAGGAGCTTTTGGATTGAACAGTGCTGAGAAAAGTAGGGATAATACATGTAGATCGCGGCGACGACGAATGGGAAGCCACTTTAATTTTTGCCTGTAGTAAGAAACATGATCGTACTTACGCAAACCATATATGAACCTAATGGAAAAATTTTGCAGTCGTTCCAGTTTACTAAAAAGATCAAAGGTAAGATAAGAATAACAAACATCTGCATAATCAAGAATTGGTAGAAGAAGGGAAGTTGCAAGAGAAATTTTGGTGGCAGTAGGCAAAAAGTTACGCAAACGCCGCAAAGATCCGGCTGCAGCGAAAGTTCGTCTACTAACTTCAGCAACCTGATGACACCAAGATAGGGTTCTATCAAATATTACCCCTAAATTCCGAACTGTATCAGAAAATGGGATAACAGTTCCATTCAAAGTAACTGATGGCAGTTGCTTAAAGTCCGTCCGTGATATGAAGTAAGGACTACCAATAATTATGCACTGCGTTTTTGTCGGATTAATTGTTAGTCCAAATGAGTGGCTCCATTCTGTTATAAGAGCTAAGTCAGAATTTAGAATATTAATGGCACTGTTCAAATTTTCTAATCGAGCCTGTGTGTAAATCTGGAGATCGTCTGCATACAGATGACAGGTAGAAGTTAAGTTAAGAGTAATGGAATTGATGAAGATAGCAAAAAGCAAAGGAGATAGCACACCGCCCTGAGGAACACCGGCTGTGAGTGTACACCATTGAGAGAAGGATTCACCAACAACTACACGCTGCCGGCGTCCATGTAGATAACTACGAAACCAGTCAATGACCGCAGGAGATATGTTAAGGGAACATAGCAAACTCAACAGGATTTCAAAGTCAACATTATTGAAGGCATTACTAAAGTCTAGTAACGTTAAAGCTGTAAGTTGCTGATTCTCCATGCCAAAGCGAATATCATCGGTGATCTTGACAAGTGCACTAGCTGTGCTATGGCCAGGACGGAAACCAGATTGTATAGGATTTAGTAAGTTATTCACACGAAGGTATTCACTGATTTGATTGTGTATAAGACGCTCAAGAACTTTTGAAAGGAAAGGTAAGATGGAAATAGGACGGAAATCAGACATACAATCAGGATTGGATTTTTTGGGAAGTGGAATGACTTGAGCATCTTTCCAAATTCTTGGAAAATTGCTAGAGGAAATGGATTGGTTAAAAATTTGGGTGATAACTGGAGATAGAATATCAAGTAAAGGAATGATCATGTTACGGCCAATATTGTCATTGCCTACCGCTTTGGAATCAATGGCACGAATGCTCCTCTCAACATCACTATCGGAAAATTGACTAAAAGTAAAAGGAGTAAAATCTGGTGTTGGCAGAGAAGAAAGATACCTTAAAGTTTTCTCTTTGACATGACTGTCAAGAGAAGACGATACAGAGAAATGACCATTCAGGCGATTGATTTCTATGTTTTGAGACAAGTTGACATTTCGAGATTTGCCAACACCGAGAGACCTTAAGAACTTCCAGACCTTAGCGGGATCACCGCTTTCCACGGATTTATGGATATGGCGGCGCTGTGCGTCCCTGCACACTGTATTGCAGCGATTCCTGATTCTATGATATTTATTACGGCTACTATCTGTAGGGTTGCTCTTGTATTTAGCCTTAGCATTATTCTTTTTTGCCATTAATAATTTGATGTCGTCGGTCAACCAAGGTGCAGGCAAATGCTTGATCTTTATAGGTCTATTAGGTGCATGGACGTCATAAAGCTGAATTAAAAGATCATTAAAAGCATCTACTTGTTCATCGACAGTAGCGCCGATGTTGATTACTGACCAATCAACCACTCTAGCATCATCGCGCAACTTGTCTACATTCATGCCACCAAAATTACGTTGCATAATGATTTTGGGCTTAGCCTTAGGAGGACGTATTTTATAGGAAACGTATATTAAATCATGATATGAGAAGGCATCTGCGGTGAATTGGCCATGTTTGGCAACATGAAAGGGAGAAGAAACAATTATTAAGTCAAGAAGAGAAGGTGTACAATTGGGAAAATAGTGAGTGGCATTAAGAGGGAGAATATGCATATTGCAGGCATTGACGAGTGACTTCAAGGCATTGGCCCGTAAATCAGATTTTAAGAGGCACGTGTTAAAATCACCCATTATAATGGAATGGCTATAGGACGGGGTCAAATCTTCTAGCAGTTTCTCAAAGGAAGAAAAGAAATTGACTCTAAGAGAAGGGCTATAGTAAACACCTAACAAAACTTTAGAATGAAAAAGAGTAACTTCAAGAAGAAGGTGTTCTGCAGTATCCTGTGGAGGGGGTTGCATAGATCGACTTATAACAGAAAAAGGAATGTGATTACGTAGATAGATAGCTACTCCGCCATGAGACGTATTAGTCCGATCGTTGCGAATAAGTTGAAAACCAGGGAGAGAGTAAGAGTTAGATTGAAGACAAGGATGAAAAAATGATTCAGAAACAAGTACTGCGTGAATGTTCTTGTCAGAAAAAGTTGCAAGGAAGTCAGGATAGTGTGCTGGAATACTCTGAGCATTAATATGAACAACATTGAAGTTTTTGGAAACGTCTGACATGACAGTCTATAGATTATCCTTTAAAGAAGGTATACTGCAGAAGCTATCATCACTGCTCAATCCATCAGAGGAGAAAGAGAGAGACATAAAATCATTACTATTATCACTTCCGGCAGCCGGCATACTACTGCAAAATACAGAGCAAATATATACCTATAGAGTTAGATAAGTAATATATATATATATATATATATACCTTCGCTCTTGTTCTCAACACAACCCACCAGCAAAAAGTAACAAATAAAACATATACATTTGTCAGGAACACATTGCACAAAACAAATAACAAAATTTATACAAAACACGAATTACACACTATTCAAAACACAGACAACATATAATAACAAAATGTAAAAGCTTATTATTCATAGACAGACATAAAATATAAGAAGCTAATAGTATAGTAGTATACACAAACACAAGACATAAGAAGCCGCTCCAGAATCGGAACCAATGTCAACCTTGACATTTGTTACACCTATGCAGAGCGTAGGTTCCGAACGCAACCCAATGCCAAAAGTAAAGTTTGACGTACAGTACAGCTGTCTAAATTGTTATGACTTTGACATTGAATTGATCGATGGTTCAACGCGACATAAAATGTTTTATTGGTTTATCGGGTATACAAATTATTAAAATATAATATTATATTAAGTGGGTAAAGTTATACGACAGAGGAAACATTACAAGAAACAGTTTACTAGATAAGCAATGCGTGTACTCACAGAAACATTGCTAATATACGACGCTGAAGTGGAGTACATTACTTCTTCACCACACGTCTCTTGGACCTATCTTGCAGTTTAGAGATGGCTGAGGCCTCGGCTGGGTTGTCAGTTTTACCTTCGGCCGGGCCGTCAGTTTTATTCTCAGCTGCGGAGGACGAAGGAATGAATACCGGAATCTTGTCCATATCCATGAGACAATTCACCCGTTGTCGCTTGTTATCGGGATCCATCACATAAATGCTTCCATCTTGCGTCCAGCACCTATTGATACCGTACTTCTTTCTCACCGTCATAAACAGTGTGTGGCGTTCACTTGTGAGAAATTCTGATAAAGTTATACCAGTACCTTTCAGATGCTTTTTGGCAAACCAGACCTTGTTCCTTACAGATGCATCAAGGAACTTAACCAAAATAGGCCTGGGTTTATCATCCATAGGTCTGCCAATCCGGTGAATGCGGCCAATATCTTGCCTAGACAGAGTAGTAAGCTTGAGCCGTTGTATTGCCAAGCTAAGGAACATATCTGCAACAGCTTCATCCTTTTGCTCAGCCACTCCGTACACGAGAAGCATACGCCGCCGACTACGTATTTCACGCCGATTAGCTTCCTGAGTCAGGAATTCCACTTGTTTTTGAAGCATATCCAGTGCGGACACAACGAAAGTGCGGAATCTAGCAAAGTCCTCTGCTATAGATGTGGTATTCGCTGATGTTGATGGGACAGCCTTTTGGAGATCTAGTTGGAATTCAGCCATCCTAGTGTTGAATAGTGTAGACATTTCATCAATAGATTTCTTGACTAAATCCATGACGAATTATGTGTTTGTTTAGAATGTTAAGTGCAGTATTCAAAGGGAAGGAAATTATATTGCTGGTAGGTTTATGTGATTCACTCTTTCATAAACAGTTGTAAATATTAATATAACAAGATTATATATTTTAAATTCAAATTAAAAGCTGGAGCTCAAAAAAGTATGTTTACTTTACACAACTATGTCAGTCAGTCACGTTTGAGTTTTATATATATATAGATATTCTCACATTCTCCAGGTATCTTGTCTCCGTGGCAAGGCAGCGCACGCATGACCAGCTGTGGCGCCATTACCCGGTAGAAGACAAGAGACGCGCGCGCCTCCGTGCCCGCCCCGCTCCCCGCCGTGCGACGCGCTTGCAGCAACGTGGCGACGCAGCCGTCCTTCTGTCATCATCATCATCAGCCTATTATTCCCCTCTGCTGGGGCACAGGCCTTTCCTATGGATGGAATAGGATTAGGCCATGACCCCCCACGCAGGCCCAGTGCGGATTGGCGGATGCTAACGACTGCAGATGCAGCCGGGACCAACGGCTGCCTTCCGAAGCGCGAAGGAACTCGAGACAGAAGATTTTTGGTCACGTATCCAATGATCGACCACTGCGAAAGTTGCTTAACTTCAACGATCGCAGCCGAACGCGCTATCCATCCAGGCCATCGAGCTCCTCATCGTCCTTCTGTAATAATACATTACTGCAGCGGCCAGCAAGAGGCGTTGATCGAAGTACGTTTACTATGTAAGTTTGGCCGCTAAAACACGACAGATATGGGTTTTCATACAATGCAGCCAGCCGCTGCTCGCATGTATGCCGTCAGCTCAGCAATTTCGATTTATCTCGAACAAGGTTGTCAAAATAATGGTCAAATTTCCAAGTATGATTGGGAAAAACATGTTTGTCAGAGCTCCGCAGGATAAAAGCTGTGACGCATACAGGTAATGAATCTACATTACCAGAAGTCGAATCGTTCTGTATTCTGAAATTTTATACTGTCTTACGTAAACGGGTCAGCACCTTAACGGAAACAGCTCCGTTAATTCAAAATTATTCCGTATAGTAATTTATGTAACTTAAGGGATTGCTAACATGTACTATCGCGGAATTTTGCGCTCTGTCACTTGGCGAACAAAATGCTTTGAACGGTTTTCTACAGTAGTTTTTACTACCCCGCCTTCGCGTCGGACGCGCCAATCCGGGCCGCCGCACAAAAGTAAGACAGAGAGCATTTCATTGATTGAATAATGAATTGAACTGCATTTGTTTTAGTTGCAACTCGTCAAGCACATCGTGATCGCGACAGCGCTATACGAAAAAGTAAGACAGCGATAATTACATGTCTATAATTGAATTTTTACTACGCCGCTACCGCAAGCGATTGGTCTTTCCGCGAGTGTACCTTGTTTTTAGCGAGCTTTTCAATCACTCCGTGATCATGGCGCTTGCAACAGTGCCGAAATATCGAAACCTCGCTAAAAACAAGGTACGTGGTAACAATTTTGTAAAGAATATAAATTAATATAATGTTAGTGACCATGGAAGTAAAAAACAATATATTATTAGAAAGATTAGAGATTCCGATTGGATGGTAGTGGAAGACAAGTGAAATAGCCGCCCCGCTAGCACTCGAGACACGTCACCTGTCGTACTATGCGCTTGCAGCAACGTGGCGACACAGCCACACAGCAGTTCTTTTAAGGAACATGAGGAGATCAAAGTAAGGTCACTGAGGTCGGAATAAAGGTGGCGAACCTCAATTAAACGGGTATGTGGGTTGAAACATGGTCTAGGTCCAAATGTAATTTGGTGATTTTGAGTACTGTTTTGTGTTTGTGAGTCAGTTTGTCAGAGCTTCAAAGGATAAAGGTTAGGTTACAAAGATAACAGTAACGTAAAAGGATCAAGGTCGTCACGAAAAAAGTTAAGCTCGGTAACGAAAATAGTTCAGCACTATAACTTAATCGGATCAGCGCGACAACGAAACACGAGGCTTGAAAAGAAGGCTTTGTACCAGGAAAACAGTTTTAATATCACCATTTACGAGTAACATTTTTCAGCATTTCCTATTGGATCCAGTGTTGAATCTTATACGGTGTGGTAGATATCTATTATACAATGAACACACACATATATATACAATGAACCTTAAACTAAAAACCTTAAAAAATATAATACAATAACTAAAATATATTACTAAAAGGAGTCCTTTATGCAAGGTTCCGAAGATACTGGCAGCGTTCCCCCTTTGAATAGCTAGACTAATTCTTTGTCCGAGGTAGCAGCTCTTCGGTCTCCAGTGATGTCGACTAACCTTTTTGATATTTCATTAAAAAACCTCATAGCGCTAGGACCCCACGGACCAAGGGTCTCGACACCGAATGAAGCAAAATCATATTCGGAGCCTCCCTGTATTTACATGCTTTTGCTATAGATATATAACATATTATAGTTTAGAAGTATGCGGAGTTTTTAATTTTAGTCAGAGGCTATGGAAAGTTCTTTTTGTATTTTTAAATTGAAGTTGAATGTTTGAGTAAATCCTAGTAAAAACTAAAGTTCCAACTTTCAAGCCTTTTTTGAGTAACTTTAAGTAGTTTCAGGAAGCTGAGTTATTTTTTTTTTATTAAAACAAAATTCAAGACAATTATGACACAAAAAAAATATGCAAAATACGTACTACGAAAAAAGATATGAATTTTTGAAACCTCACTGGCAGAAATCATTAAAAATACACGGAAAAATCGCGGAACATACATAGGGTATTTTCGGATACCCCAAGGTGCGACGAATCTAGAAAAAATTGTTAACGTCACTAGTTGGACCACCCTGTATATTATGATTAGATTCACATTACTCAAGTATTTAGCTAAAAAAATTGTTCTATGACTGTGCTGAAGCTGCTTCGCGTAAGCAAGCGGCATATCGTGCTTGGATCAGAGGCCGCGCTCTTAAGGATCCCGGGGTCGATTCACTCAAAGCAGCCTACAATTTTGCTTCCAAGGCTTGTAAGAAGGCTTACATCAGAGCGGATGCCCACCGCGTTGCACGTGTTGGCCAGGAACTTATAACGCATTCTACGGGCTCCCGTAGCTACTGGCGTTTGGCCAAGGCCGTGCAAAAAAACTTCTGCCAGCCCTCGCTGCCACCTCTGAGATGAACCCTCTTTGCGGCTAACTCCCGAATCGATGACTGCAATGCGCTGCCACCGACATTACCTCATTGTGAATGCAGTTACTGGAAAGCTAGTAGACCTGATGGCATCCCAGCAGTTGCACTTAAAAAATGTGCAACTGCGTTGTCTCCCGTGTTCACGCGCTTGTACCAAAGCTCGTATTCTTTGGGGCGTGTGCCTAAGACTTGGAGAGATGCCAATGTACAACCGGTGTCCAAAAAAGGGGACCGCTCAGACCCGGCCAACTATCGGCCGATAGCTGTCACCTCAGTGTTGTGTAAAGTCTTAGAAAGTGTCCTTAACAACCATCTGACCCACAACCTAGAAGATTACTATCTGATTCACGATCGTCAATACGGATTTAGGCCGAATCGATCGACGGGTGACCTTCTAGCGTACGTGACACACATCTGGGGAGAAGCTATAGACAAGCGGGGAGTCTCTGGCTATTAGCCTTGACATTCCCAAGGCTTTTAGACGGACCTATCTATAAAAAAAACGCAAACAATATAAATGGCAACTATAATAGTTTTTTAACGTGTCCCAAACGGATAATGACTGGGACTTTTGGAGCCAAAACTCAAACCGCCCAAAAAACTGAAAAGCAGAAAATAGTTAACCTGTTTTATCTCTAGTCAAATGAATATTTGGAGACGGCGCCGCGCATGTCTGATAGATCTGAGTTCCCATTTACTACTTGGGTAGGCACAATCTAAAATACTACCGCTACCTTAAAAATAAAGTTTTTCTGTCAAATTATTTGGGACCAACTTCGCAGTATAGCCTTTCCGATAAAATAAAAATTATCAAAATCAGACTTCTCTGTGAAAAGTAAAGTGATGCGTGATCATAAATAAAAAAATATATACGCGTCGACTTGAAAACCTTCACCGTTTTTTTCGTCGGTTGAAGAGGAGCATTAGCATAAAAGTACATTCCAATAGGTTTCAGTGAGCAAAGGAATGAGGTCGCGAAGTCCAGAGCGCCTCATTAGAGCAGGCCGCAGCCCGCGAGGCACCGCGTTCACACCTGAATGCCTCGTCAAAGCGGACCGTAGAAAGGTTAATAAAATCCGTACCCGCCTGCCTCCATAAAAATACGGTCAACATTGAAATCTTTACAGTCTTTTACATCGATTCCGCGTCTTTTATTAAGCTCAGAGTAATATTTACGTTTCCTAAAATATGGTTGAGCGAAGCGATGGCTGGTTCATGCGTCATGCTGGTGAATGGGTGCTGCCAGCGGAGATGAGTCTGCCCTTACTTCTTTGATATTGAAGATGTTAATGTTTAGTTACACTTAATATAAATAACACTATTTGTATTTATAATGTACTAGCGGCCCGCCCTCGCTTCGCTTCGGTGTAGAGCTGAAGTGTAGACTACAGTTTTCGTTCTCAGACTTGTATTATACACAATGACATTCATCTATGATTCTTTTTATACCTGTATGCAAAGTCTCAGCCCGATCTATTTAAAATTGACATAGTTTCATACAAAATTTCATTCCCTATTTATTCTACCCCTTGGGGGTAGAAATGATCAAAATCCTTTCTTAGCGGATACCTACGTCATAACATCTACCTGCATGCCAAATTTCAGCCCGATACGTCCAGTGGTTTGGGCTGTGCGTTGATAGATCACTATGTCAGTCAGTCAGTCACCTTTGAGTTTTATATATAGATGACACAGCAATCAAAATGCAGGTAAACAACTAATGTATACTTAATCATTATGTAATGAAAGGTGACTTCATGAATCATCTCTGAAGTCATGTTTCAAATTGACGACTCTTAAAATAATAAAACAGGGTGAAAAAAACGGCACTGGCTGAGTTTCTTTTCGGTTCTTCTCAATACAAGGTCATAGATTTACGCCGTAGATTTACGAACCGATGGCGTAGCTTCTAGACATTCATGAGTGCTTGTAACAGCCTAAACTGAATAAATGATTTTGATTATAATTATTATGAACATTATTATTTTTTATTAATGCTATCAATTGAACGATCGTAACGAATAATACAATAGCGAGTTTTATATACGAGCCGTAACCAATTGCCCCACCCAACCTGATGTTAAGTGTAAGTGGAGTCCAGTCGCGAAGATAGATGATGCAGTAGAAGGTGTGTCGCTCCAGCCATCCTGACCTTGTCGAGCTGAACCCAATCCCCTGCCCCGCGGAGACCTAGAACCCTATTCACCAGCAGAAACACATTA